CAAAAGGAGGGGGAAAAAAAAAAAACAAAAAACCAACCAGTGTAGGTGTTTCCAAAAAAGAACCTGACGCCACATGCTCCAGCTTTCTAGCATAGTAAGTACCTTTTAAGAGTAGCCTGTCACAAGCTTGGCTTTGTCTAGCATGAAGTCTTCTCGTTCAGCGTTATCCACCAGAGCAGTAAAAGGAGACAGAAGACATCCCGCAGTTTTCTCCGCTCTGGCGTTGGTTTGGTTGTCGAGTCTGTCAGGGGTACTCTAGAGTGTGAAGACAGAACATCCCCACGGCTTGGCCTCTCCACTGTTAACGTAGCTCTAAGCTTTAGAGCAACCTTGAGTGTCTGTCTCTGTCTCGGAGGAGCTGCTCTCAGAGTCTATTTCTGTATTCTCCTGCTGGTGTTTCTCTTGCACCTTCTGCCGAATTCCTTGCAAACGCACTAATAGGGACTGATAGTCAAAGTGGCCTCGTTTTTCACCAAAAGGATCCTGGAAGAAAACCATAGATAAGCCTATTAACACAGACCATTATCCTTCCGGCAAGAGGCAGAAAGAAAAAAAGCTGCGTAGTAATTGGGCAACAAATGGTCAAAGACTTAAGGGTTAAATCCCATCTTACGATGGAGAGGCCCCTAAACTTCCCACTGTCGTGGCAGAGGTTGAAGACTGAAGATAATTTCTGTTTGGGGTCTCTTTTGGGAAACCTTACAAACCCAAGCAAACTTCAAGAACAGATGAAAGGCCAGGCAGACACGGGTTGGATTTCTACTAGCAGCTTTGAGGAAGTAAACTATTTCAAAGCTTTGGTCTCAGGCCCACTCCAAGGAGGCAGGGAAAACGTTACAAATGAAAGCCCCTAAAATCCAGAGCCCAAAGACTTGACGACACCTTATATTAGTGCTACAGACCCTTTCCAAATGAAAGCGTCACCATTCTCGTTTTAAATCAAGGCCCCCAGCTGAGATGTAGCCAAGTCAGAGGCAAAAAGTCTTTGGAGATTATTTAACATTTGCTGCTTTTATCCCCGTCCCAGGTCAAAGACACGTTGCTAGGGCTATATAAGGTGGCGGTGGAGTTTACGCTGTCCTATCTGATGGGAATCTTTGGTACAAGCCAACCTGTGGCCCTGGAGTTAACAAGACAGCACATCTGGCAAGCGCTCAACTGATACCGAGCCTGGAGTGACTTCATTTTAAATACAGGGTAATGAAGACAACAATGCCATCTCTCCAGCACGTTGTGTCCATGCTTCCTGCACTACTATTTACAAGTGAGCAGAAAACAGACCACGGCAGTCACTGCCTCTGGGAACGGAACACAACACAGTCCCAGGCCACAGTCCATAAACCCACAGAGAAAGCAACGGAGCCCTGGCTCCTTGAAGAAGAAATAAGAGCGGGCTACACCTGACAATCCTCTAATGTCACCAAACTTCACCACACAGCCTTCAGTTCAGTACTCTCTGAAGACACAGCCCTTCCTTACGGGAATTTCTCACTCCAAACATCAACTCCCCTGCTTTGGGAGTGCTTTCAATTTATGAATTACACAGCCAGTGAAGGCACTGATAGGAAAAAAGGGCTCAGAGACACAAGATCATTAAATCAGCCACCTCCATCTTTTCTTAGCAGCGGAATTTCTCAATGAGTCAGACAAGAGGTGGCTGATGAGGGTGGAAGAAACATCTGTTCATATGCAAATAGCTTGGCAATCTATTCTTTAAAGTCTACTTTCCTGCAGAAACAAGCTCCTGTATTCAACCTGTCTAGATGGGTCTGCTGTATTGTCACTCTTCCCCCACTCCTTCCTCCTCCGGTAACTTTTGACTCAGTCAGCCACTTTCAATCTCATCTGACAGAACAAGGAGCATCAGAGAAAAGTTCCTATCTGCTGTATGAGCAAAGGAACCTCAGAAGAAGAGAAACTCTGCCAGTGACCCAACAGGAAAATACTGCAATGGAGTTCAGTTGCCACCAGCATTGAATAACCTGCACGTGCCCTCCCTGCTTAACACCAAATCCACGTGAAAGCAAACTCTACCGGTTCCACTGCTGAAAGAAGTATCTGCCTGCCTGGAGAGTGGCTCAGGTCCAGCACTCTGAGAAGCCTAACAGCCTTGAAAACACTGCGTGCATACTCTGAACTTGAGGAAGGCAGTGTTTTATCTACAGGAACGTCTCAGGTCTTAGTTTCATGGTTGATTCAAAGTTGGAATAGACATTTCCTAGAAAAGATCCAGATCCACGCCACGTACCTGTAGGTGCTGCACATTGTTGTTTGTCACTAACCATACACCCTTATCTAAGGCAGTGTGTTATCAACAAGTAAATTGTCTGCCACCCACCTGCATTGTCTGTCCTTGGAGGTAAAGTCTCTCTTTACACACCCCTTCATAGAAGTCGTAGTATTCCATGAAGGATTTCTCCATTACGCCCCTGGACGCAACGAGAGAGCAAACAGTCAACACAAAATGACAGTGTTCCAACGGTCACATCATCCAGGGTCACCCCATCCCACCGAACTCCAGTTCACGTAACCGGTGTGGACGCCCACGCAGGGTGTCCCAGACAACTAACGGGGTACAGCGAGGCAGGACGCAGAGCGAAACGAACTGCAGCATCCCTGCAGCTGAAGAGATTCTGCCCATGTTTCCACAACAGCTGTGCTCCCCTCCCTCCGAGATTTTTAAGACAAGGCACATTTATACTCAAACACAAGTCAGAGGATGCAGCCGTTGTGCACTTTAACGCGGCCTTTGTCAATGCACAGCGCCCGGGCTACACACAGACGCAGCCATCCACTTCAGGGGAAACAAAACAACTCTTCGCTGGACCAGGGAGAGTTAAAGACTTGCTCTTCCCTGGAGCAGCTCTCAGGATTTCAGGAGGGGCAGCCAGAGAAGTTTATTCTGCTTCCCCACGCCCACTTGCTTATGCTCCCTCCACGCCTCCTTTCCATACCGTAATGGCTCAGGACAGGGACACTTTCCTTCCAGCATGTCGCACACTGCTACCCGGATGGTCTCATGCCGAATGCACTCATTGTAGTTCTTGCTGTCCCCGGGGTGCCTCTCCTGGAAATAGAATTTGGGCCAGTGAGTCCATGTGACTGCAATGGCTCTTCATCCCTCCCTCCTGGGTCCGATGAATTTCACTGGTGCATGAACCCCACTACGGCTTTCTGTTCTGTGGATGCTGAGCTAATTTATACTGCAAATGAAAAGCTGGCAAGATTTTACATGTCTCCAGAGCCTCGGACTCACACAGCTGTGGAGACAGGTCAACTGATACAGTTAGCACAGAAACCTGCCTCTCCGAGATGCTGGAGACCATGAAAACCTGAGCAGTCTGGTTCCTGCGCGACAATATGTCCCAAGGAAGCCATTTCAGGAGTCGCGTAGCAGAGAAATGAAGAGCCATCCCACCTCCCCGGCAACTTCTCGAATGCCTCTTGTTCTGTGACCTTACACATACGTGAGCTGAGCAGCCTCCGGTTCAGAGCTGGCTTGCAACTCCCCCTCAAGCTCTGACTGGAGGCAGAGCAAGCTGGAAAAGAGCCAAGTGACATAACCTACTTTTGTCCCCATTTCCAGAATGGGTTTTGCCACCAGGAGCGCGGGGTGGAGGGAAAAGACAAAGAGCTGCAGAACCAGAGACGATCCACCTCAAACTCTCACCTGCTCAAAGCCGGGTTCATTGTGATAGGGGTTCTCAGTCATCAGAGACTGGATGGAGATGAGGACTGAAGAGATACTCTGTGCTGGGCTCCATGCAGGCCCGGTCCAAGTGCTGAGGCATTAAAACAGAAAGGTATCAGTTAACAACGCAGGACTGGCCCAGTGAGCACCATCCCTCCAACTACCAAAGACCAGAAAGCTTGGGAAACCACACCTATACCTTACAGAAATGCGACAGGAAAAGAAACAGCTGCTACAGATACAGAAAGCACTGGACACCGAGAAAGTTTTCAGGGTCAAAGTAGTTTATTCTCTCAATCAAATGAGTACTTTAGCTTGTGCAAGACAAGAGAGGCTGGTAAACTTCCCTCCACTGCTAACACACACGGGGCATTGCACACGAGTTGCGGAAAAGTAACATTTCCAAGCATTTTACAGGGCACTTTAAAGCTATGGCTATCTTCTTGCACAGCAGCCTGGAGCAACACAAGCTACCAGCACTACCATTAGTCAAAACCAACAGTTCTTAAGAACTAAAATCTGATTTTCAAGACTCAGACAAGACCATCACTTGTGCAGTCTGTAACGCAGACAGTCAGCGCAAGGACTGCCAGCAAAAGCACTAACGGATGCTCTGCTATCGGAATAAGGCGCCCGTTTCATACACACAGGGTAGCAAAAACTTTTGCTCAGAACAGCATAAGCAGAAAAAGCTGTTCTGCTGCTTGCCCTCAATATCCTAGTTCCAGATACAGACCCGTTTCCCTGCGAGCTGAACAAGGATGTGCTGACCCACATATGCTCTTCCTAAATCCTTTCATTTGCAGCTCCCTCTGCGCTTCCCATTTCTGCTAAGGCCGAGGCTCTTTGTTCACTCTTCAATAATTTAGCTTCCAGGCCAGGGCTACAATTGCATGAGCAACAAGGCAGCTTGCGCGGGAGCTGCTGGGCATTCAGACCCCCGAGATACGGACATGCCCTACACATCCCAGCGCTTTGCAGGCGTTGGCATCCAGCTCACTGGATCAGGAAGACTCCTGTGCTGGGGAAGGTGTTTCCCAGCACGACGCATCTCTCTCTGCCAGCCCCGAGGCCAGTATCTATCAGCTGATAGGTATCAGCTACTTTGGCCAACTTTGGTGTAAGTGGCACACGCGCAGCGCTGCTGAAACCACCCCAGCAAAGGCAGTCTTCTAACCACATCAGGGCTCCTGTTGGTTGATCAAATCCCTACAGCAATTCAAGCCGTCACTGCCCCTTCCTCACCTGGCTGCCGTTACCCCCTCTCTGCAGCAGAAGGAACTAGGTACTAACACCCCAGCCGCACCAGTCCAGAGCCTCAGCAAAAGCCTTTCTTTACTGGCAACTGGAACTGTCACAGCTGGGGTTGGGAATATCACACCGCGGCCAGGGTTCCTCTGGCAGAGCCGTAAGAGCCATTCGATCAACCAGGACTTTCACGTGTTTAAAAATCAAGCAGGTGAATAACGAGCGTTTGCAGCAGCGGAGCCTGTTTGAACAGGCAGCATGGGAGCAGTGCTTGTAAATCATTACACTCCCCGCTCAGCCCCACATACTCTGTGTAGGTGGAAGCCCAGAGCAGTCAAATGGCTCTCAAGGAAGTTCTTAGCGGCTTTTAATTTTATTTATTTATTTTTAAACCCACACAGAGAGGAAATTAAAGCCACAAAAACCTACATTCAAACAACATTAAGGATCAGGCTGCAAAGCACAAAAGCGGAAGAAAACGCAGTGCTCGGGCCGAGGCTTTGCAAGGGGAAGCAGGAGGAAAGCGGCAGCGTCCACCGAACTTCATGCTTCCCCTGCTCCATTCTCAGGTGCTTTTAAAGACAAGTTAGACTCTTATTTCAGTGGAGGAATTTGTGCTGCTTTATGACTCTGGTTCTGTACACGACTTCACAGAAGCATAAAGGTGCATCCGAGCACGCGTCTGAGGCAAGATCAGGGCACAACGCGCTGAGAAGGATGCGTGAGGCAGAATACAGCCTGCAGCCACCTCCTGATTTCCCATCAAAACAGCCAAAGTCTCCTCTTACCCCAGAATACTCAGGCAGACTTTCCCATTGCGGTAGAAGTTGGGGTTAAACCTCACTGTGTTATTTCCTGTTGTCATCAGTTTGACCCTTGGTGGGTGGATGGGATAATCTGGAGGACAGCGAAACAGGAACAAGAAGAAACCCCCTTCATAAGGCGTGTCAAATGGGCCTGTGATCAATGCATGAATCTGGAAAACAAAAGCCCGTCTTGCGCACCACTTCAAAATTGTGCAGCACCGTCAAATCCTCAACAAAGCCAACCGAAGGCAAGAAATCTCCACCCAGGCAGCAGCACGGAGGCAGCGCCTTTCACAAGCACACGCCATGTGCAGGCCATACTTAACCCTCCCTCCTTCCCTCGTTAGCCAGAGCCACTGCTGCGCACTTCTCTCCCCTCTGCCACTCTCAAATGTGCAAAGCAGGTTTCCAACGCAAGGTTTGGCCAGAGTCCACAACAGCTGCCTCCCATACATCTCTATACAGTCCAAACCAGACCGAATCCCAGTTCAGCTGGTAAGCTCTGCTTAAAAAAAAAAAAAAAAAGATAGATTAAATATGAAAAAAAAAAAATCTAATTTTAGAGAGAAAAAAAAATTCAGAATTTCTGCCAACACTAGAGCATTCCTCAATTTTATGGTCTCGTGCTGATTTGGTCTTATTAAAGCCAATCACTCAATTTCCTCTGCCAGGATCCAAAATTAAGACCCTACTCTCTCCGTGCTAATTACCCTCAAAGATCCCAATTGTATACCAGGAAATCTACTCCCTTTGGGCTACGAAGGAAGCTTGCTCCCCAAGTGATCCAAGCAGTCTCCTTTAACGATCCTCTTACCTCCCCAGGATTTCAGTTGAAAGCCCCAAGGCTGGTGTTCTACAAACCCGCGTTTCCATGGAAGGGCGTTTTGGCACTTTCAGCTACCAAGGCTGAGGGAAGCCAGAGCTGCAGCAAAGCGCCCCGGGTGGGAGTCGGCTGTGCAGAGACGCTCCCTTTGTGCTCCCTCCAAAAACCCAGGGGCCTTAAGTCAGGCAGGCGCTTACATGGAGGGAACCGAGGGGAATCTGGGGGATGCCACGTTCGTTCAGGGGGGTGGGAGAAGTGCGCACCAGAGGAAAAACCAAAGCAACCTCACACACGACTCTCAGAAACCAGCACAGCCAGACCAGGCGACACCGGCTGGAGAAAGGGCAGCACCAGCCGAGAAACACGCTGGATCAAGAACACCGTTCGAGCAACCTCTGCCCTCCCAGCTCACTGCATTCTCTCTGACATAATTGGAAATTCCCAGTCCCGGAAAACCCCGAGAGCCAGGAGGGGAAGAACCGGGGCAGGAAAGGCCGTAGCCATGCCTGTATCCCTAGAAAGTAGGTCTGCCGGAGGCGACGTGGCGGGAGCGGCTGTGTGGGTCAGACCTGCGCGCAACCCTGGTACCTGTGAGAACCCAGCGGGCAGCTCCACAGCGGGACAGGGCCCGGGTGCAGGGACACACCTCTCCGCCAGCTCACAACTATTAAACATCCCCCAGTTCCGCAGGCAGATTATAGATACTCCAGCAGTGCTTGTGGCTAACGGACGTTTCTCATTTCCAGCCTCTCTGAGAAGCCCCCCGTGGCCAACAGCTTTCCATGGAGCTCTCTCTTCTTTGAGCTGCTTTATTGATTGTTTTCAAGCATCAGTAGGATGAAACGAGCTGGATCAGCACCCCACTGGTTCGCAGGGCCACTAAAGCAGAGCTGGCTCTATCTGTGGAAGCTCCTCAGATCCCCGTGCTGGTATCTCTCCACAGAGCCAGTTTCCTTGAGAGCCTCCTCCCATTTTAAATGCAGCCCATCTCAATGTCACCAGGAAAAACGGAGCCTCATTACGCTCTTGCAAGACTCGGCCTGCCTTCTCTCAAAACATTAAGGGAATACTCCATTTGGGCAAACCCTTAAAGCAGCCATCAACAGCAACATACAGAGAAGCGGAAAGTTGAACCAGCTCCAAATCTTCTCTTACCTTGGTCATGTCGTGGGGATCAGGCACAACAAACATTCCCGGGGGCGGTTCCTTGTAAATGGACATGATATCCCTGAACAAAGGAAACAGGAATTAGTCAAGATCTCCCTTGGCGTTCATCAGCCCTCGAGGCACGGAACGTTCTAGATGACAAATCTGTGCACGGATGCAAAGGGACAGACTTTTAAGACGGAAACTTGCAACTCGCAAAGAGCTAGACATTTTTCTTTGGCGTCTGACCGCTCCCTGGCTGAGCTCTTTCCACTCATCCCCAAAACAGTTGAGGCGTTTCAAGAGCACAAGCAGCACTCAATGAATCAACACGCGAGGCATCAGACCAAGCGCACCTCGGCTACCTGCTGCCTCGTCTTTTACTGCAGATCGGCTCCAGTGCATAAAACTTCAACCACAAACTTCCCCTAAGGTCGCTGTTTAAAAGTCCTCTTAGGTGGATTTTGTTGTTTGAAGGATGACTTTCCCGCCCCATGTTTTCCTTCTTCGCACCCAGACTATTTACAGGATCCCTTTCACTTACCCAGTCATTTGTTTTCTCCAAACACACCGTGACTCAACTGCCTTTGAGAACGTTACTGCTCTGACAAATTGCGGTTTAATCAGGCAGCGGGTTCAAGAGTAGTTAGGATGCACACACACACACACACGACTTGATCGCAAAGGCCTGGTTTCCTTAGGAATGTGGACTAAATGAACTGAAAAGTAACAAATCACCTGCGACTCCATGCAGTTTACAGATAAACCAAATGGCACCCGTGACCTTTCATCGCTAAAAAAACCTCCCTCCCATAACCGGAGCTGCACTGAGCTCCGGGACAAGCTCCCACTCGACCTTCCCATGTGGGAAGCACCCGGAGTTCAGAGAGGTCTCAGGGCGAGAGCAACGGGAGAGCAACGGGAGAGCCTCACCTTCCTGCCTACCGTTACGAAGTCAGCGCTTTTGGCATTTGGATTGGAAAGCGCCCAAATATCTGGTGCCATCTTTGGAAGACGTTATACAAGCTCTAGAACAAGGATGAGCAAGAGCCTGGCAGGCAGTGATACTTGCTCCGAAGGAAGAGGAAGAACTTGTTGAAACACTGCCAGCACGTCTAACAATTCAAGACCATATTGCTCGTTATATCAAAGGCTATCGACACGCCGGGTTTAACCGGATGATCCTTTAAAGAGTCAGAGCAGCCAAACGGGTGCGCACCAGCAGGAAGGAGGATCGCTACGGGCAGGTAGCGATAAAACATCTTAACTCGGCCGTTGATGGGGACCGAGCAGCCTGCTCCCCTCCCCATTTAGCAGCGCCTCCGAGGAGCGGCCAGCGATCCCAAGGGCAGGATTAGAGCCGTGCACCGAGGAGCTCTGCTGCCAAACGCCCCAGCAACAGCACACGGAGAAAGAGACCCCGGATGGCGGTAGAGGGGTCCACGGCTCCAGGACAAGGCGAGGTGTGAGACTCCGTCCCCGCCCAAGCACCTGGGGAAGGAGAGTCCCGGGGCACGGCGGGGACCAGGGTCTGCCCCCAGGAAAGCCCCCGGGACACCGGGGGGGACCGGGGC